AGTGTAAAGCACCCTTCTGGCAAGACAGTGATGGAGTGAATGATGGTGAAAGTTTTTCTTTTTCGGGCCACCCTGCCTTGGTGGGAATCGGCCGGTGTGATAATAAAAAAAATACATTTGGACCATTTATGGGTTAATACCTAGAATTTCTACTGTATCATTCGATGAATCCAGCAATTCTGAGCAACAGAGAATATCTTTCACAGAGTCTTACTCCTCCCTGTGACCTATAAATTCTATCACTTCAATACATGTTATAGTTTTTTTATCTTTATCTCTCCATCCAAAACATTTCTTGTGTTTGTTTCTGTAAATGCTCCAAACATGGCATTCATTTCTGAGAGGAGCCCACTAATATAACGATCATTTTTATTTAATTTCAAACCCTGAATGTTTATGAAGAGAAAGCAGTATTTACCATTTGGGATGTTTGGGTTTGGTATGTGTTTAGTTAGTACCACTGGTAGTGTATTACCTAGTCTTGTTCCTGGTGTACATACTCCTGGTTCTCCAGTATTGATTGTGCATTTGTCTGGTGTATACCTTTTTACCTTTGAAGAGTTTCGAGAGTTTCACTACTCTCAGAGTCAGGCCATGGGCCAGGCTCGTCTGGTGCTTGCCTGGTCAACCAGGCTGTTGCTGCTGGAGGCCCGCTGCCCCAACATATCCATCACAGCATGGCTGATCTGGCACCTGGTGAAGATACTTGTCCAGTTTCCTCTTGAAGGCTTCTACACTTGTTCCAGCTTTGTTTCTGTTATCTTCTGGTAAGATGTTGAATAGTCTGGGACCCCAGATATTTATACAGTGTTCCCATATTGTCCCCACTGCACCCCTGCTCCTCACTGGGTTTATTTTATACCCCGTTGAGCAGATGCCTGGACTGGTATGTCCCACTGTTGTGCAACTCTTTCCCATCTGTAGTAATTCACTGTATGTCTTTTCTTGGGTCCAATTGTTTCTCTTGATGTGTAAAAAACAAGAGACTGCTATATATTTACTCTTTACCTGCTTTCTCTGAGGCACTGCATTCCTTTCACATGGTGGTCTGGACAGATCAGGCCATAAAATTCTCTGAACTGTGTTGAAGCTTTGCACATCACTGAATGGAAGTACCTGCACACTTTGTCAAAGCAACACTTTCCCTGTCTTAACATGTTTGCACATTTTCTGTTGTGTTTATACCAGCATTTTCTACCATAGAGCTACAGCTCTTTTGCTTAATATTTGCATATATCCTTCTCAGTAGTATCAGTTACCGCGACATCCTGACTGCCTACATTTACTCAGTGAGAGTCATTCTTGCTATCTGCCAAGAGATCTGAATTCTTGTTTTCTTTCCTCTAAGCATATTTCTTGTTTTTTTGTTTTTGTTTTGTTTTTTCCTTGTTTTCCTGCTATAGACTTCTCTTCCTCCCTTTCCTATTTCTCTGTCTTGTACCCCCCCTTTTTTTTGCCCCTTATAACTTGCCCTGAATGACAATCTCCACCCTTATTTCAGCTCCTTGGTCTTTACCTTTATTTTCCCTCTCTCCTTGTTTCCTACCCTTTTTTTCCCACTATAAATATCTGACAAGCTCCTCAGAACATTTCTTACATTTTCTAGGTTTTCGATTTTCAGTACATGCTTTCCATCTCACTGGGACAAAACCACAAACATCTTTCCTGTTTTAGGTCATTTCTTGTGGCCGAACTAAGCTTTGTACATGATACAAGAGGTGATGATCAACAGACAATGGAACCTCAGTATACGTCCAGCTCCCTACTTGAACAAAGCTCAGCACTTGACCAAACAAATATGACCTGCCAGAACTTTGTTGTAAACTATTTCATGTTTCTTCACATTTCTGGGTGTTTTTTTGTATTACAGTGGACCCCCGCATAACGATCACCTCCGAATGCGACCAATTATGTAAGTGTATTTACGTAAGTGCGTTTGTACGTGTATGTTTGGGGGTCTGAAATGGACTAATCTACTTCACAATATTCCTTATGGGAACAAATTCGGTCAGCACTGGCACCTGAACATACTTCTGGAGTGAAAAAATATCATTAACCGGGGGTCCACTGTATTTGTATAAGTAAGTTACCATGGGGCCTACGAAGATTAGTGATAACAGCCAACAGAAAATTGGTTGGGAAGAACTTGTTCGATACTCAAAGAGAGCAGCACTTGAACAGCCTTGTGGAATGAATTAAGGTCACATACCGAGGTTCCACTGTATCTCACAATTAATGACTTTATGCCTCTTCAAAATATTCCTTCACATACACCACAGATCTTATTTCTGGCCATCCTCAGTCTGTTCCTCAGTTTTTTCTTTATACTATCCTGGGCAACAGCTCCAGCTATTGGTGGTGTTTTGTCCTGGCAGAGGTGAAGTAGATGGTGGGTGGGGTGTGGGTGGTGGGCTGTGGGTGTAGGGTAAGACTTCACATCCAGTAACTGGGTCACAGCACTTGACTTCTTTCATTTTCTCAAACTTTACACCTCCTTCCTTATCACATGAAACAAATACCATGTCTTTCTAGGCTTTTAAATATGTTTGCTTTATTACACCTTCCAGAGCTTTACATTCACTGATCACCCGTATTATTTTATTTACATTGCTATTTCTAAGTGTTGTTTGTACTCATCTGTTTGTTTATCTTCACTTCTCTGTGGACATCTGGCAATAATCTGTTAGTGATGTTTGACCATATATAACACCCATATATTACACCATCTACCACACAATATGTCCTGGGGATTGTTTGCAAGATCGTTGTTATATTCCCCAATTTAGGATCACTATTGGAGATCCACTGTGTATGTTAGTTTGGAGTGTGTTTGTTTGTTTGGGGTGAGAAGAAGTAAGTTGTTTTTAATGTCTGACATGCTGCTGGAGTGAAAACAAAGTAACATTTATGAAGGAATTCAGGGAAAACTAGTTAGCTGAACTTGAGTCCTGGAGGCAGGAAAGGCAGTGCCTGCAGTCCAGCAGGGGTGTTGATGTTGTAGTCAGAGGGTCATCTGAATTGTGATGTCAGCACTTCTGGCAAGATGGCAACTGAATGAATGATGAAAATTTTTTGGGGGTCACCCTGCCTTATCAAGAGATGGCTAAAAAAAAAAAAAAATAAGAGTGGAAGCTCTAAACCTGTAGAAGGTATGGAATACTTGGTTAATAAAAGGCAATTAGATTTGATCCAAGGAATGAGAGGATAAATCCAATTACTTAAATCAAGAGCCTCCCTTGAGAGGTATAATTCTCATTCATTCAGGACACTTCCCTGCTTCCAGCTCCTTCAATCTCCAATTAAGTCTCTATTACACATTTCAATTATTTTTTTTTTTTAACACACAAGCCCTCTCCCAACAAGATAGGGTGACATTATATTGCATTCATTATCACTTTTATTTTATAACAAAAAGGTGCAATACCGCTATTGGAACAATACACAAATAACCCGCACATAGGAGAGGGGAGCTTACAACGACGTTTCTGTCTGACTTGAACCATTTACAAAGTCACACTAACAGAAAAGAGAGAGGGAGGGAGTATATATAGGCCAGCAGACAGGGACGGGACAAGAGAGGTAGTAGGAAAGGAAGAAGAGAGGTAGAGGCGGCGGCGGCGGCAGCGACAGCAGCAGCAGTCAGTTGAAGACTAAGAAAGAGGAACACTGCAAGGGAGCTAGGGGCCCCATAAAGAGTACAAACAAAAACACAGAGGGGGGGAGGGATAATAAAGGACCAAACACCCAAGGCAGAAGAATGAAAACCCAAAGGAGAAAGAGGAAATGGAAAAAGTGAGAAGGGGAAAAAAAGAATCAGGTTAAGTCATGGGTGTTCTGAAGTTTGGAGCATTTTACAATGTAATGGGAAAGGAAGGCATCTAGAGAGACAAAGCCAGGACTAAGATTCATATAAAGAAAGTTGTGTATAAGGGAGGATTCAACCAGACAGCGACTGTGAAAGTTAGAAGGTAGACAGTTTCAGCAGAAGACCAGTCAATAGGATGACTGTGATCTCTGACATGACAGAAAAGAGCACTGCTGGTGTCGGTAAGCCTAACACTACTTTTGTGCTCCTCAAGTCTGTCAGAAAGAGAGCAGCCAGTTTCTCCAGAGTACTGAAGAGGACAAGAGGGACAGGAAACAGTAGAGACTAGGAGCATTTATAGAGGGAGGAGAGATACGAACTAGATTGGTGCAAAGAGTGTTAATCTGGCGAAAAGTAAGTTTGATGTCTAAGGAACAGAGAGAGTTGTTAAGATTAGAAAGACTGGAAATATAGGGAGGGCAGAGGACAGGAGAGTTCCCAGGTGTAGAGAGTTTGGGAGAGAAGAAAGTCCGTTTAGCACATGAGAAGGCAGAGTCTATGAAATGGAAAGGGTAGCCAAGGCAAGAAAATGAATTATGAAGAGTGGAAATTTCTGATTCAAGGAAATGAGGATCACAAATGCGGAGAGAATGGAGAAAGGGAAATAAAAACACTTTTCTTGACAGAGTAAGCATGGTAAGAAAAGAAGTCAATGTACATGCCACTGTGCACAGGCTTGCGGTACACAGAAAAAGCAAAACCTGTATCTGAATGGTGGACGTGAACATCAAGGAAAGGAAGCAAAGAATTAGATTCCCATTCAGCCTTAAACTTAATGGAAGAGGCAAGATTATTAAGGGCATCAAGAAATGGTTGGAAGAGACTAGAGTCGTGAGGCCAAAGAGCAAAGAGCTCCCCTCTCCAATGTGAAGGTAATTTGTGCACTAATATTTTAGTTTCTATAATCACTATGTTTAGATTGTTGTGCTTCACCATCTCTTTGAGAAAATTAATTACTTACTGAAACTAATTTGCATTTGTATAATGAAGTAATATTCCTTATGAGGTTACTGGCAGGCTGGACACCTGGCAACTGCCTCTTATGTCACAGGTATGAAGGAAAAACAAATCTGTAGGAAGGGATAAGACACACACCACACAAATTGTAAAATAATGTATTACTATCAATGCATACCTTGGTTACTTGAATCACAGTCTTCATCGATGTATGGGGCAGCCACATGCTCTATCTGTACCACTTGTGGCACCTGTAGCAAGTCAGGCTCCTTTGCCTCTAAGGAATGGCGGGACGGCAGCGAGCTGATGACAAAGACAAACAAATAGAAGATAATTCACAAGCAATAAAAGAGAGAGAGAGAGAGAGAGAGGACAGAGTAGAGAACAGAGCAAGACGTCTCATCTCTCGCCTGGACCCATCCTGGATAGATCTGTCATTTCAGCAGAGCCTTCAACATAGGAGGGATGTGGGTGGCCTTACTGTTATGTACAAGGCCAATATTGTCAAAATACCACACTTGGATCCACTTCGAGGACAGCGTGAAACAAGCTTTTATGCCACAAGACGGGCAGAAAGCAGCAACTTCACTCTGGCTGTACCCTTCTCCAGAACATCACTCCATCTGAGATCATACATACCCAGGATGACTCGAGTATGGAACACATTCGTACAGCATAATGATGTCAACGAGATAACGTCTAGTTGATCAAATGAAAATGCTGGCCCACAGATGGCTCCAACTTCATCCTGTTCCCTACTTGTATGTCTCATAACAAAAATGCTTTCAAATGAGCTGATGTAGGTAACAGCTCTTAGCTTGCCAATAAAGTTAGGATCCTTAACCTGTAAATAGCTGTCAATAAAGCTAGGGATCCTTAACCTTGTCAAACCCTGTGTAAAAAAAAAAAAAAAAAAAAAAAAAAAAAAAAAAAAAAAAAAAAAAAGAGAGAGAGAGAGAGGAAGGAGAGAGAGAGAGAGAGAGGAAGGAAGAGAGAGAGAGAGAGAGGAAGGAGAGAGAGAGAGAGAGAGAGGAAGGAGAGAGAGAGAGAGAGAGAGAGGAAGGAGAGAGAGAGAGAGAGAGAGAGAGAGGAAGGGAGAGAGAGAGAGAGAGAGAGAGAGAGAGGAGAAGAGAGGAGAGAGAGGAGAGAGAGGAGAGAGAGGAGAGAGAGGAGAGAGAGGAGAGAGAGGAAGAGAGGAGAGAGAGGAGAGAAGAGAGAGAGAAGAGAGAGAGAAGAGAGAGAGAAGAGAGAGAGAAGAGAGAGGAAGAGAGAGAGAAGAGAGAGAGAAAGAGAGAGAAGAGAGAGAGAAGAGAGAGAAGAGAGAGAGAGAAGAGAGAGAGAGAGAAGAGAGAGAAGAGAGAGAAGAGAGAGAAGAGAGAGAAGAGAGAGAAGAGAGAGAAGAGAGAGAGAAGAGAAAGAGAGAGAAGAGAGAGAAGAGAGAGAGAAGAGAGAAGAACACATTTGTACAGCATTATGATGTCAACGAGATGAAGTTAGTTGATCAAATGAAAATGCTAGCCCACAGATGGCTCCAACTTCATCCTGATCCCTACTTGTACGTTTCATAACAAAAATGCTTTCAAATGAGCTGATGTAGGTAACAGCTCTTAGCTTGTCAATAACGCTAGGGATCCTTAACCTAACCTTGTCAAACCCTGTGAAAAAAAAAAAAAAAGAGAGTTGCAAAAGTCAACTAAAATGCCGGGAACAATGGGCTAGTAACCCCTTTTCCCGTATAGCTTACTAAAAAGAAAAATGAGAAAACCGTCAAAATGGGATGTTTGAAGGTGCATGGATGTTGTGCGAATGATAAGAAAAAGATGATTGTGGATGTTATGAATGAGAAGCTGGATGTCCTGGCTTTAAGTGAAACAAAGCTGAAGGGAGTAGGAGAGTTTCAGTGGGGAGAAATAAATGGGATTAGGTCAGGGGTTTCAAAGAGAGTTAGAGCTAAAGAAGGAGTACCAATAATGTTGAAGGATAAGCTATGGCAGGAAAAGAGGGAATATAAATGTATAAATTCAAGGATTATGTGGTGTAAAATAAGGGTTGGATGTGAAAAGTGGGTTATAGTAAGTGTTTATGCACCCAGAGAAGACAGAAGTGAAGAGAAGAGAGAGAGATTTTGGGAAATGTTGAACCAAGTGAGAGAGTACTTGTGGTTGGGGATCTCAATACTAAAGTGGGTAAAAATGTTGTGGAGGGAGTAGTACGTACATTTGGGGTGCCAGGGGTAAATGAAAAAGGGGAGCCTTTAATTGTGTAGAAAGAGGTTTGGTAATAAGTAATACATCTTTCATGAAAAAGAGGGTAAGTATGCAAAGCATGATATAGCACATAATGAAAGTAGTTTGTTAGATTATGTATTGGTGGATAAAAGGTTGATTGGTGGGCTTCAGGATGTACACGTATAGAGGGGAAATGGATATATTGGATCATTATTTAGTTGTAGCTACAGTTAGAGTAAGAGGTAGATGGGACAAAAGAAGATGGCAACAACAAGTAGAGAGAGGTGAAAAGTGTATAAACTAAAGGAGGAGGAAGTTAGGGTGAGATAAGCAATTATTGGCAGAAAGGTGGGCTAGTGCAAGTATGAACAGTGGGGGGGTTGAAGAGGGTTAGGATAGTTTCAAAAATGCAGTATTTGAATGTTGTGGCTATAGGAGGGTGGGTGCAGGAGGAAAGAGGAGTGATTGATGGAATAATGACATAAAGGGTGTGATAAAAGAGAAAAAGGTAACTTTTGAGAGATTTTTACAAAGCAGAAGTGATGTAAGAGGAGCAGAGTATATGGAGAGTAAAAGAAAGGTGAAGAGAGTGGTGAGTGTGTAAAAGGAGAGCAGATGAAAGAGTGTAAGAGGCAGTGGCAAGAAATTTTGCTGAAAATAAGAAAAAAGTTTAGGAGCGAGATAAACAAGTTAAGAAATCCTAGAGAACGAATGAATTTGTAAGTTAAAAACAGTAGGGGAGTTGGTAGATGGGGAGCTGGTGAGAATATTTTGAGGAACTTTTAAGTGTCAATGAAGAAATGGAAGCGGTAATTTCATGCACTGGTCAGGGAGGTACAACATCTTTTAGGAATGCAGAAGAGCAGAAAATGAGTGTGGGGGAGGGGCGTGAGGCATTACATAGAATAAAAGTGGGTAAAGCAGCTGGAACTGACAGGGTCATGACAGAAATGTTAAAAGCAGGGGGAGGGGGGATATTGTGTTGGAGTGGTTGGTATTTTTGTTTAATAAATGTACAAAAGAGGGGAAGGTACCTAGGGATTGGCAGAGAGTATATAGTTCCTTTATATAAAGGGAAGGGAGACAAAAGAGATTGTAAAAATTATAGGGAAAGAAGTTTACTGAGTCCTAGGTACTAGGTTGGTAGACAGCAACTGCCCTGGGAGGTACTACCATCCTGCAAATTGAGTATAAAACAAAAGCCTGTAATTGTTTTACATGATGGTAGGATTGCTGGTGTCCTTTTTTCTGTCTCATTAACATGCAAGGTTTCAGGTATGTCTTGCTACTTCTGCTTACACTTAGGTCACACTACACATACATGTACAAGCATATATATATATACAAACACCCTCTGGGTTTTCTTCTATTTTCTTACTAGTCATTGTTCTTGTTTATTTCCTCTTATCTCCATGGGGAAGTGGAACAGAATTCTTCCTCCGTAAGCCATGTGTGTTATAAGAGGCGACTAAAGTGCCAGGAGCAAGGGGATAGTAACCCCTTCTCCTGTATAAATTACTAAATTTAAAAAGAGAAGCTTTCATTTTTTCTTTTTGGGCCACCCTGCCTTGGTGGGGATGTGCAGATCAAGTGTTTACATTGAAGCATATATCTGAACAGTATTTAGATAAAGGTAGGGAAGTTTTCATTGCATTTATGGATTTAGAAAAGGCATATGATAGAGTCGATAGGGGAGCAATGTGGCAAATGTTGCAAGTACTATATGGAATAGGCAGTAAGTTACTAAATGCTGTAAAGAGTTTTCATGATGATAGTGAGGCTCAGGTTAGGGTGTGTAGGGGAGAGGGAGACTACTTCCCGGTAAAAGTAGGTCTTAGACAGGAATGTGTAATGTCACCATGGTTGTTTAACTTATTTATAGATGGGGTTGTAAAAGAAGTAAATGCTAGGGTGTTGGGGAGAGGAGTGAGATTGAAGTATGGGGAATCAAGTACAAAATTTTTGCTGATGATAATATGGTTATGAGAATCTAAAGAAAAGTTGCAAAAGTTAGTAGACAAGTTTGGGAGGGTGTGTACAGGTAAAAAGTTGAAAGTGAATATAAATAAGAGTAAGGTGATGAGGATATTGAATTATTTAGATAATGAAAAACTGGATATCATATTGGAGAGAGGGAGTATAGAAGAAATGAATTTTTTCAGATATTTGGGTTGTTGAGGTGGTTCGGACATGTAGAGAGAATGGAGCGAAACAGAATGACTTCAAGAGTGTATCAGTCTGTAGTGGAAGGAAGGCGGGGTAGGGGTCGGCCTAGGAAGGGTTGGAGGGAGGGGGTAAAGGAGGTTTTGTGTGCGAGGGGCTTGGACTTCCAGCAGGCATGCGTGAGCGTGTTTGATAGGAGTGAATGGAGACAAATGGTTTTTAATACTTGACGTGCTGTTGGAGTGTGAGCAAAGTAACATTTATGAAGGGATTCAGGGAAACCGGCAGGCCGGACTTGAGTTCTGGAGATGGGAAGTACAGTGCCTGCACTCTGAAGGAGGGGTGTTAATGTTGCAGTTTAAAAACTGTAGTGTAAAGCACCCTTCTGGCAAGACAGTGATGGAGTGAATGATGGTGAAAGTTTTTCTTTTTCGGGCCACCCTGCCTTGGTGGGAATCGGCCGGTGTGATAATAAAAATAATAATAATTTGGGAGTTGACTTGTCAGTGTATGGGTTTATGAAGGATGAGGTTAACCACAGAGTTAATGAAGGAAAAAAGGCGAGTGGTGAGTTAAGGTATCTGTGGAGACAAAAAAACATTATCTATGGAGGCAAAGAGGGTAATGTATGAAAGTATAGTGGCACCAACACTCTTATAATGGAATGAAGCTTGGGTTGTAAATGCTGCAGCAAGGAGGCAGTGGAGACGTCGTGTCTAAGGGCAATGTGTGGTATAAATATTATGCAAAGAATTCGAATTGTGGAAATTAGGAGGTGTGGAGTTACTACAAGTATTAGTCAGAGGGCTGAAGAGGGGTTGTTGAGGTAGTTTGGTCATTTAGAGAGAATGGATCAAAGTAGAATGACTTGGAGAGCGTATAAATCTGTAGGGTAAGGAAGGAGGGGTAGGGGTCATCGTCGAAAAGGTTGGAGGGAGGGGGTAAAGGAGGTTTCGTGGGCGAGGGGCTTAGACTTCCAGCAAGTGTGTGTGAGCGAGTTAGATAAGAGTAAACGGAGACGAATGGTTTTTGGGACTCGACGAGCTGTTGGAGTGTGAGCAGGGTAATACAGTGGACCCCTGCTTAACGATCACCTCCCAATGTGACCAATTATGTAAGTGTATTTATGTAAGTGTGTTTGTACGTGTATGTTTTGGGGTCTGACATGGACTAATCTACTTCACAATATTCCTTATGGGAACAAATTCGGTCAGTACTGGCACCTGAACATACTTCTGGAATGAAAAAATATCGTTAACCGGGGGTCCACTGTATTTAGTGAAGGGGAAATCGGTTATTATAGATTTAGCCTGACTTGAGTCCTGGAAATTGGAAGTACAATGCTTGCACTTTAAAGGAGGGGTCTGAGATATTGAGAGTTTGGAGGGACTTCTAAACTGTCGTATTTGAGCTCCTCTGCAAAGACAGTGATTATATATGAGTGAGGTGAAAGTGTCGAATGATGATGGAAGTATTTTCTTTTTGGGATTTTCTTTCTGTTTGGGTCACCCTGCCTCGGTGGGAGATGGCTGACTTGTTGAAAAAAAAAAAAGTGTCACAAAGTTTTGCCTGAATCTAAACTAAATAATTATTTGGCACACAAATTACTATTATATTTTATAAACTCATGAAAATGATTTCAGTGTTAAATGATATATAGTAGGCCTTCAAATAGAATGCATTTCAAAAGCACATTTTTATGATAACAGGTTGAGAAACTGCAGCATGAACTGGAACAGAACATCTTAAAACTTGAATAGTATGCAGTAAAATTTTTAGAAAAGGTGGCTCAGGCATGAGAACCTAACATTCCTAACCAAGTGGCCAAAGTCTCATGAAGTTCACTTTGGATAACAAGCAGGCTCATGTATGTTGATAATTTTTTTGAGATAAGATGTGGGATGCCTGTAGCTTGCAGTCTTTCACTGTGTGATTGATTTTAGATTACTGATGGCTGTTAATATCCAAGCACACCATAAGTGGTGTATGGTTAGATTGGTTTAGAAGTGTGTAGTGCAGTTTTGGGTACAGTCGAGTGTGAACAGTGCAAATTGGGGTACAAAGCTGTAGTATGAGCAGTGTAGCTTGGGGTACAGTTTTGTTGTGGTTATAGTGTGAGATGTGTAGCTTGTGGTACAGTGTACAGTGGGGTAATATGCAAGTCCTTGTAAAATTGTAAGGTGTGAGAAAGGTGAAAATTTGAAATGAAAAATTAAGAGAAGAAATGTGTTTTCATGTTATTTTTATTTTTTTTTATTATCACACTGGCCGATTCCCACCAAGGCAGGGTGGCCCGAAAAAGAAAAACTTTCACCATCATTCACTCCATCACTGTCTTGCCAGAAGGGGCTTTACACTACAGTTTTTAAACTGCAACATTAACACCCCTCCTTCAGAGTGCAGGCACTGTAGTACTTCCCATCTCCAGGACTCAAGTCCGGCCTGCCGGTTTCCCTGAATCCCTTCATAAATGTTACTTTGCTCACACTCCAACAGCACGTCAAGTATAAAACCATTTGTCTCCATTCATCCTATCAACACGCTCACGCATGCCTGCTGGAAGTCCCAAACCCCTCGCACACAAAACCTCCTTTACCCCCTCCTCCAACCCTTCTTAGGCCGACCCCTACCCCGCCTTCCTTCCCTACAGACTGATACACTCTTGAAGTCATTCTGTTTCGCTCCATTTTCTCTACATGTCCGAACCACTCAAAAAACCCTTCCTCAGCCCTCTGGACAACAGTTTTGGTAAACCCGCCTCCTCCTAACTTCCAAACTATGAAATTTCTGCATTATATTCACCCCCACACATTGCCCTCAGACATGACATCTCCACTGCCCCCCAAACCTTCTCCTCGCTGCAACATTCATCACCCACGCTTCACACCCAATAAGAGCGTTGGTAAAACTATACTCTCATACTTCCCCTCTTTGCCTCCAAGGACAAAGTTCTTTGTCTCCACAGACTCCTAAGTGCACCACTCACTTTTTCCTCATCAATTCTTTTGATTCACCTCATCTTTCAAGACCCATCCGCTGACACGTCCACCCCAAATATTGAATACGTTTACCTCCTCCATACTCTTCCCTCCCTTGATATTCAATCTTTCATCATCTAATCTTTTTGTTTTCCTCATAAACCCTTTCTCTTTCCTGTATTCACTTTAATTTTCTTCTTTTGACCCCCCTACCAATTCATCCACCAATCTCTGCCCGCTTCTCTTCAGAATCTCCCCAAAAGCACAGTGTCTCAGCAAAGGAGCCTGTGACAACTCCCACTTTGTGTGTGATTTTTTTATCTTTTAACTCCACGCCTCTTGCCAAGACCCTCGCATTTACTTCTCTTACAAACCCATCTATAAATATATTAAACAACCACGGTGACATCAACCATCCCTTGTCTAAGGCCTACTTTTACTGGGGAAAAAATTTCCCTCTTTCCTACTACTCTAACTTAAGCCTCACTATCCTCGTAAAAACTCTTCACTGCTTTCAGTACTACCTCCTACACCATTACACTTGCAACATCTGCCACATTGCCCCCTATCCACCCTGTCATACGCCTTTTCCAAATCCATAAATGCCACAAAGACCTCTTTAGCCTTATCTAAATACTGTTCACTTATATGTTTCACTGTAAACACCTGGTCCACACACCCCCTACCTTTCCTAAAGCCTCCTTGTTCATCTGCTATCCTATTCTCCGTCTTACTCTTAATTCTTTCAATTTATAACTCTACCATACACTTTACCAGGTACACTCAACAGACTTATCCCCCTATAATTTTTGCACTCTCTTTTATCCCCTTTGCCTTTATACAAAGGAACTATGCATGCTCTCTGCCAATCCCTAGGTACCTTACCCTCTTCCATACATTTATTAAATAATTGCACCAACCACTCCAAAACTATATCCCCACCTGCTTTTAACATTTCTATCTTTATCCCATCAATCCCGGCTGCCTTACCCCCTTTCATTTTACCTACTGCCTCACGAACTTCCCCCACACTCACAACTGGCTCTTCCTCACTCCTACAAGATGTTATTCCTCCTTGCCCTATACACGAAATCACAGCTTCCCTATCTTCATCAACATTTAACAATTCCTCAAAATATTCCCTCCATCTTCCCAATACCTCTAACTCTCCATTTAATAACTCTCCTCTCCTATTTTTAACTGACAAATCCATTTGTTCTCTAGGCTTTCTTAACTTGTTAATCTCACTCCAAAACTTTTTCTTATTTTCAACAAAATTTGTTGATAACATCTCACCCACTCTCTCATTTGCTCTCATTTTACACTGCTTCACCACTCTCTTAACCTCTCTCTTTTTCTCCATATACTCTTCCCTCCTTGCATCACTTCTGCTTTGTAAAAAACTTCTCATATGCTAACTTTTTCTCCCTTACTACTCTCTTTACATCATCATTCCACCAATCGCTCCTCTTCCCTCCTGCACCCACTTTCCTGTAACCACAAACTTCTGCTGAACACTCTAACACTACATTTTTAAACCTACCCCATACCTCTTCGACCCCATTGCCTATGCTCTCATTAGCCCATCTATCCTCCAATAGCTGTTTATATCTTACCCTAACTGCCTCCTCTTTTAGTTTATAAACCTTCACCTCTTCTCTTCCCTGATGCTTCTATTCTCCTTGTATCCCATCTACCTTTTACTCTCAGTGTAGCTACAACTAGAAAGTGATCTGATATATCTGTGGCCCCTCTATAAACATGTACATCCTGAAGTCTACTCAACAGTCTTTTATCTACCAATACATAATCCAACAAACTACTGTCATTTCGCCCTACATCATATCGTGTATACTTATTTATCCTCTTTCTTAAAATATGTATTACCTATAACTAAACCCCTTTCTATACAAAGTTCAATCAAAGGGCTCCCATTATCATTTACACTGGCACCCCAAACTTACCTACCACACCCTCTCTAAAAGTTTCTCCTACTTTAGCATTCAGGTCCCCTACCACAATTACTCTCTCACTTGGTTCAAAGGCTCCTATACATTCACTTAACATCTCCCAAAATCTCTCTCTGCCTCTGCATTCCTCTCTTCTCCAGGTGCATACACGCTTATTATGACCCACTTCTCGCATCCAAACCTTTACTTTAATCCACATAATTCTTGAATTTACACATTCATATTCTCTTTTCTCCTTCCATAACTGATCATTTAACATTACTGCTACACCTTCCTTTGCTCTAACTCTCTCAGATACTCCAGATTTAATCCCATTTATTTCCCCCCACTGAAACTCTCTACCCCCTTCAGCTTTGTTTCACTTAGAGCCAGGACATCCAACTTCTTTTCATTCATAACATCAGCAATCATCTGTTTCTTGTCATCCGCACTACATCCACGCACATTTAAGCATCCCAGTTTTATAAAGTTTTCTTCTTCTCTTTTTTAGTAAATGTATACAGGAGAAGGGGTTACTAGCCCATTGCTCCCGGCATTTTAGTCGCCTCATACGACACGCATGGCTTACGGAGGAAAGATTCTTTTCCACTTCCCCATGGACAATAGAAGAAATAAAAAGAACAAGAGCTATTTAGAAAAAGGAGAAAAACCTAGATGTATGTATATATATATGCATGTGCGTGTCTGTGAAGTGTGACCAAAGTGTAAGTAGGAGAAGCAAGATGTCCCTGTTATCTAGCGTGTTTATGAGACAGAAAAAGAAACCATGTTACAGTGTGTATTTAACAACCAAAAGACTATAAATTCCTAGTACCTTAAGGTAACTCGTTTTTTCATTCTCTGAGAGACATCAGAGTTGCCCCTAGTCATAGGTCTTTCAAAATATTTGTTTGTGGGTGTATTGGGTTCTGATGCCTGTTTATCCACCAAGATTGGCTTAGGCTTGAGCACCGATGCATAGGTTGGAGGGGCACCCGGAACCTGAGGAAAAAGAAAGAAGAGATTACACTATCTTTTAGTGCACACAGTGAAATGAAATGGTAAAATATTACATGTACTGCAGAATTACTATATATCTGACTATATTCATGAGGGAACCACTAAACCTATAGATCCCAACCAGAACTCTGGAAATGGGAAGCACTCAGGCATAATCTGAGGAAGGGGGGGTAGTTCCAATTCCTTACATCAAGAATACTCCAACATCAAGGCACCTTTTCTTGAAGGGACTGCAGAATCTAAATAACATGATCCTTAACAGCTAAAAATACATGTATAGCAAAAGGTAAAACTACATTCCATAAATACTGAAACTACATTCCATAAATACTGAAAACCACTTGTCTGTTACTTAAATATTTACTAAAGCTAACTAAAATGTTTTTAGTATTCCAAAACAATAGTAAGACTCAGGGGTTTTGAAAAAAATAAATGATACAACTAAGTGAAAATTTTTAAAAAATTGGGTCATCAGTATTAGATATTAGGGAATTAAGACATTCTGCATTGTATGAAAGTTGGACAGACAGGCACTGCAAAGCTTGAGATAGCAGGCCTTTATCAAACCTAGCACCTCTTCCTTGAAAACATGTATTCACAAAATGAGTAAGACTACAGTCTTACAGAATCTGCCAGAATATAGCAAAATATACACAGCATAGTACAGAAGTGTGGTACAAGCTTACATGTTGTTAAGGGGATGTACTAGTTCCAACCAAGATGTGCTAGCTCTGATTGGGATCTACTACCACATGTTTGACAGCACCTAAATATAAGAGAGTAAAAGAAATCTACCTTTGCTTTTTGATACCACTTTTCTTGAGGTACAATCATATTGCAGTACCCCTAGGTTACCTGAAGGCAATTCAGGATATCACCACCCCACTGGCCTGGTCCCAAACCAGGCTTAGTTGAGTACCCAATTAACTAGGCTTTTGGGACTAGGCTGTATGCAGTTCAGCAAAGGCACCACAGTCTATCTGACCAGGGTCTAACCTGAGGAATTTACCTTGAAGACAACTAGGGGTCTTTTGATAATTCCCCTTATGTATGAAGGGTGTTAAAAAAATCTTAAGTGTACTAACTGTAGCCTTAGTTTTCACCTAGACATTTTGCACCCTTTACTGTGCCTCTTATTCTCATAGGGAGTAATTTCAAAATCAAATCAAATGAAATCATTTCTGTGTGCAGATTTGGGACCAATCTTCCAGGAGTAAATTATGATGTACCTTTCTTGCTTTCATTCCAGGGAGTACAGTTCAAAGGACTTTCAGGTGTTGTCAATAATTTAGGTGCATAACCGACTTAAAACAGGCAGTGAAGGTCTCTGTACATTATTCAGTTCTGCTCATCTGCATTTCTTCCACTATCACATTACTGTTCTCAACAGTGACTCAGCTTTTCAATTCAGTCATCATTATTTAACTGTACCTTCCTTCCCTTTCCTGTGTCTTGCCCTCTGCTTCTCCACCTGCATGGTTTTGATGAAGCAATCCTGTTTATAAAAGTTACTGTTGTTCAGTGCAAACATGGGGATATATTTCGTAACATTTCAATAAGCCCCTCAAATGTCTTTGGGTACATAGAGACAGTCAAAACTGTGATGTTTATACAAAGAAAGTCCCTCAAAAAAATTAAGTTTTCCAGATGCTTGTACAATAAATGTTTTGGAAGGGAAGTCTAGAAGTTGATGATATCCTCACTTCTCTCCCCACTCCCTTTCAGTACTAAGATTATCCTGAGAGTATCCTCAGAGCAGTGAACTTTAGCATCAAAAGCTGCATTATTAGTATACACTAGCCCCCATCTCACCTCTGGCTACTGCATTTTGCATCTATTTTTCTGTACTTATTTCCTCCTTTCACGAAAAATGTGGCCAGTTAATGCACTGGTGCAGGCAGGCAAGTCTCCTACAAGTTTGTGGACATAGACACATTAACTATCTCATAACACTTGTATAGCAATAAGCAGGAGGAATCAAGAAATTTAAGGTAGAGTAAAATTATTTCTTGTTACTTTTTATCATATTCTAAGGAATAAAACTGTGTAGGGAAGGCAGAGTGCATCATCTGAAGTAGAAGGGCCCGAAACTTTCCCTGCACGTTTATGAAGAAGTACAGCCACATTAATGATCTCCACACACTTCCATAACCATAAGCAAGAAGGATCAAGGAATTTAAAATAGAGTAAAATTCTCACTTTTTTTTTCTTTTTTTGGTTACATTTTAGTGTAGTCTAAAGAAGAATATTGTGTAGGAAAAGTATAAGTGGACTGAAGTTATAATAGGAACTAGTTCATACTGAGCAAGCCCATTTTTTCCCTGGAAGGAATGATTTGCTTATTTTCTATGGAAAATATAAATGGTAAATTGTAGCTTACCATATTTCTCCTCTACCCCAGCCTTACTAAAGTTAATTTAGCAAGCAATTTTTTGTTTTGAGGTTATATATACATAACATAAATGATTTTTAATAATGGTCTTGACAACACACATTATGGAATTGTAAAAAGGACATTATGTAGATTTAACTAAAGATAACCCACTGAAGTCAAACATGGAATTATTACACCTGTTTACAAGTGATTAAACCTCACTACATCCAACTAGGTCTGGTAGGGTAAAATAAACCCTTTCCATACATTGCTAGATCAACAAGGCACAATACCTACAATGCAAGGTGCCAAAAACTTCATTAATTTTGACTAATTAAAAATTTAAAAACAAATTGTTCGGTTTTATCGAGGGGTTGTGGAACTTAACCCAATTTTTCCTGATGAATTGTTCACTTCAATTTAATGTAAAATCTATTAACGGCAATGCATAAATTTTGTACTTAACTGTTAAAGTTTTTAGTTAGTAAAAATAGCAAGAAGTAATTATTGTGAAACACTATAAAGCTACTAAACATAGAAAATGTCTAGAAACTCAACCATCATTGTGATTATCTGTTTCAATAAGCATTCTTTTACAATTTTTCCAGTTCCTTAATAATTACAATATTATTATTATTATTATAATCAAAAAGAAGCGCTAAGCCACAAGGGCTATACAGCGCTGAATAATTACAATAAATTTCAATAAAAACCATGCTTAAAGAAATTGATACTTGTATTATTACTTATTATATCTTTATAAAGATGCAGGTTTCTAAAACAATGATGCAATTTCCTATCTTACTGGTTGCATCTGGTAGGGGATCTTCATTTGGAAAATTAACATTCTTAACAATAATTTACTTTAAGTGTCAGGTTTCAAACAATCAAAGGTATTATGGTATTGTAAACGCCCTATAGGGAAATTTGACTGGATGCTAATATACACATTAAAAGCAGCTATTGATATGCTCATTCAGAAAACATACAGCATTTAGGTCACTTACGATCACAAAGTCATGCAAGATTTGCTGAACTGGTTTGTGCTTAGCACTTGTGCTCAAAAGGCTAGACATAAAAGTGCTTCCTAGTACCAATAATAATTCATAGCTGCATTTTATACTTTATTAATTTTATTTTAATTACACAATTATCTGATTTCACATACATTAAACAATTTTTAGAGACTCACGCGAGGAAAGACGATGGTGCCGGGGAGGGATTATTGGTGGCAGGCGCAAAGGAAGTGGTGGGGCCACTGTTGCAGCTGTCAGGAGAACCAGGGTGTGGGCCAGCTGTAGGCTGACCAGGAGGCACATTGGGAACAAGAGTAGAGGGCAATGCCAAAAGACGTTTCCGATCCTCCATATACAGGTCAATCAACTGATCCAGCTTGGATTCAATATCATCAACCTAGAAAGCAGCACGGAGTCTATGTCATCAACCTTAAAAGCAGTATGTGAGGTCTCATCAACCTAGAAAATGAGCAGCTAGGAGCCAAAACCCTCAACCAAGAAAACAACTTGGTATCAATATCATCAACCTAGAAGACTGCTAGGACTCAATATCTTCAACCTAAACAGTAAGCAGTTAAGAATGAGTATCAACCTAAAATTCATCAATCTGGCTATGCAGTTAATCTAAAATATAAAATTAATAGGAGCAAAAGCTGTTCCAATGGATAAAAATCTCCCATTCTTTTTTAAAATACTGGAATAAAGTTGCTATATAAATTACATGGGAGAACTAAAAAAATAAAGTGAGATGAGAAAAATTTTTATGTCCTAAGACACAGGTTAATACTTCTGTCTTAATAGCTCATTAAGTGTCTGATTTAAGATTTGTAAACACAGTACAACCAACAATGTATACAGTACCATACTCTACACAGTATTATCTCCAGTGTTAATATGGTAATGCAGTTATGCATAGCATTCCTGTATTTCTAAAGTTCCCATATTCCATTCTAGTTCTCAGGAATAAACTTGCAAGCTTTTTTTTTTTCATTTAAAAAAAAAATACTGTCTTAGCCCTTAAGTGGCTGTCACATAGGTCTACATTACTGATGCCAGGGTCACTCACGTAGATCTACATTTTGAACAACTCCCTCACATAAGCTGGAAGCAGTAAATTTTAGCCAAGATACTAGAGAATGGGTCTGTGTGGCAAGTGTGCACAGTACAAAAATAAACTGATCCACATGGTGCATGATGGGAAAGCAAAACTCTGACCCTGTGTTTGGTTTAAAATAACAACCGAGACATTTTACAGCATGGTTTTCATAGTTTTATTGGTTGTTTCTTGGTATCATTTGATAGAAGATATAATACTGAAAAAAAGATGATCTTGAATAGTTTTAGGATCGAAATTAGCTTGAAATTTGGCTCAAAGTAATGGAAATTTTAAAATTTTGCCGATTTGCCTGAGAACAGGCAAGGCTTCCCTACACCTATCTTCTTGGGTCTGTTTTGGATTTTTTAATGTGACTCAATTACAGTGGACCCCCGGTTAACGATATTTTTTCACTCCAGAAGTATGTTCAGGTGCCAGTACTGACCGAATTTATTCCCATAAGGAATATTGTGAAGTAGTTCCCCCATTTCGACCC